AAAAAAAACAAGATTAAATATTACTGTTTTTAACCCGTTTGATTAGGAATAGGTTGAAATAGGTTCTGGAGATCGCTTGGAAAATCAAAATGTAGGAACTGTATTATAACTAATAGTAAATTTTCGCTCATTCCGCTAGGGTCTCTAGGAAGTGGTTCCAAAGCAATTACGGTATTGGAAATGGTAATACTGCTGCTGTATAACTCCTGCTCCATTCTTGTAAGCTAGGTAAAGGGACTGAGAAAAGCCTTCGCTTCAACCTTTTCTGTTCTGTTGCTTGGTAAGATATCAGAGCTGAAAAAGGAAAAGCTTGGAAAAACATTGGATGAAAAAGAAAAGAAGTTCTGTGTTTGAGGTGTGAGTCCAGGATGCAAACAAATGTATAAATCTATTCATAAAAGGGACCGCTACTGACCACTCCCTCTACAAATCTATAACTTTAGAGTGACCTTTGTGGCAGCACAATTGTCCCAGGAACTAAGTACCTGTTGGTGTACCATAACTTATTTATAAGGCCAATACTTTTTTCACTGGGACAGCCGTTGCCCTAAAGCCAAATGAGTTCCTTTTTCAGAAAGTAGTGATGCGGAAATTAGGTGCTTTCTTCCTGATAAAGTAGTACGCCTTCATTCCGAGAAGGACATTTTTAGAGACAAGTAGGCATGTGCAATTTACCATCGTTCGAGGGCATAAAAGCATTTAAGGTCAACGTTTGCTGCAGTGGTAATGCCCAGTATAGCATGAAAGTACGACCAAGTTACGGGCAGCAGCAAATAGCGCTGAAGGGCGTTATATTGGGTTGAACGGGAAGTCCCGCGATACTCCATACGATATTATTAGTTGGCGGTTTAATTGTAGACGGAAATTTCATTGAAGAAATTGATTATTAACTGAAAAATGGGTCTTATCCAGTGAGCAGGGAATGTGGTGCGACCAGCTTATGTTGCATGGAGTAATCCACTTTTTTCAGGGGAGGGCAAACTCCGTGGTGGGTGTAAAATTCAAGCAAAATCTATTTTCTTTATTCATTTCCTACCCTATTCTTTTAACACTGCATACACCTCACTCAAGCTTTTTTCAGTGCTTTCTGGAATTCTTCTTGGTAGAGCGGTGTGAACTTTTGTTGAAATGGTTCACGCACCCGAAATATTTCCCTCCTCTCTTGCGGAAATTAGAGTTTCGACAAGAACTGTCACATCACATTCCCCCCTTACTGGATGAGACTCAAATAAAATAATTAATTAAAAAATGATAAAAATTATGATAACTAACATATAGGAGACACATCCATTTTCGGGTATGAGAAAAAGCGATCAATCTCATTTTTCAATTTTTTAATAGCCAAATCCAGTCCAAATAGCGCGCAACGTCCAAGTAGATGACACGAAGACTATTACTAACGGCGAAAAGCTCTTCCACTGCATTAGCAGCGGCTGGTCCGTAACAATTTGGGCTTTCGCTATAAAGGCACATGCATGGAACACAGAACTATGGTTCGCTTTTCCTGAGCGGTCTTCTGAATTTGAAAAGAAGGGTTCTGAAAAGGAGCAGCGCATTTACGTCAGCACTTTTCGGCACAAACCTATCGTGTATGGGATATATGATGATTCCTATAGGGATAAAGCGTGATGCTTGGGGTACGATTTTGCGTGCAAGCGCCAATTGAAAATGCAAATCTTTGTCACTACGGGGAATCGAACCATGAACCAATCATTCACCCCTTTTCAATCGTTCAGGGGTTGAGTTGCACAAAAAAATGAAGGAAGGTTCTATGTTCTATGATCTTGTCTCTACATAATGCAAAAAACCGCCTGGAAAAAGCAGGGCGTCAAATGAAAGACGTTCTTGGTAAGCCTTCGGAGTGGGCGGAGTACTAGAGTATTCCCCAACCCTGATTGAGACCTTTTGAAATGTGATCTTTTGAGAAACTGGGCGAGTTCGCGGAATAGAAAGATATTGAGCTCTTGAACGGATCCTGTGCATAGCGTTGGCCATTTTTGAAGGTGGTTGGAATTCGGCAATGGAGTTTCGCCCTAGCGCAGGTGGTGTCCGGTATCTTGCCAGAGCTTTTTTGCTGTCTCTTCAACAGCGGGAAACCTTCCCCAATGAGGGCTTACTTTTGCTGCTGCGGTGTTCAAAAATCATTCCCACATCTTAGCGGCGGCTAAATTATCATGTTCAACACCGCTAATTATCGAAACTTTCTCAAGTCAGCGTGAGAAGGCAAAGAACAATGAGACTTCAGTTCATTCCAAGAACGCCTTGTGATCGTAGGCGACACCACCCCTATGTTTTGTCGTGCTTGCCATAGACAAGCACTGGAAGTATCCACATAATAATTTTGTAAAGCTTAGCGACTACCGACAAAGAGGAAGCGTCATCGGGAAAGCAATGCACCACAGATCAGTTAGGTGGCTGACCAGGAGGAAGCGATGGTGATAGGCTTTCACGACAAAAGGTACGCTGGTTGATGAGCAGGGCTTCGAGAGCGCTCTGTCTCCCAGAAGCGATCCGCCCACTACTTTACTTGGTGATTTGGAAGACCTGCGTTGTCAGCAGTGGCACGGCTGCAACATCTCAATCAAAGCGTGGTTTGGCATTGTGCCACCAAACGCGTTGCAACGTTCTGAAGTGTTACCTGTTCATGAGTGAAACCCAACGACTAAAAAAGGGGGTCCCGTTTCGCATTTCTCTACTTTTTCGCCACTGACGTACACTGGTGTGCAAAACTTAGGGACGAACGTAGCTTTTCCAACGACGTGTTACTGGCGCGTAACATGACTCTATGGAACCTAACCACACATACAAAGAGCTGCCACAGGGCACTAAAGAAAGCAGTTAACAGGAACCGTTAAACGGTCCACAAAGCTAAGAAAAGGTTATGATACTTCATCTGTCTCGTCCTTAAGTTTTGCACACCAGTACATTTGCACCTCCACGGTTCCCTCAAGCCTCCTGTGCAAAACTATCTAAATCGCTGCTTCAAGACTACCTACCTTGGCTGGGCATGACTCTTCTTGAAGCAGAACCTGGATGTTTTCGTTTAGCCTGTCGAGACAACGCACGAGCACAGGAACCTAGTGCTGATCAATGAGGATAAACAGCGCTGTGCACACTCTCCATTTCCTGGGCGGGTAGAGCCTAAACCGGTCAGCATCCCTGAATACTTCAATCAAGTGAAAGCAGCGAAAAGGCTGGTTATTAAAACTTGCTGCCCAATCTGATGAAGCTTATTGTTAGCAACTATGCCTCTCGATATTCGAAGGACTATGCCCAAACTCATAGAAAGGGGCGAACGTCTGAACACGACATGGTTTCTGAGTTTTGCATGTACCCCTATTACCAGGAACGCTTTGGAAAAACTGTGCGCCCTGAAAGGACCTTCCTAGTTAGGTCGGCTAGTCCATTCACCATCGACCATTGTTTTCTGACTTTCCTTCCACTTTAAAAGTCGTCAGGCTGCTGAACAATAGCTAAGTTATTTCTGCCCGAAAGGACTCGAACTTTTCGCTGTCAAAGAACGAGCACATATGTTTTTCCTTTCTTCTAATGACGTCCTGAAGAAAAAACTTAGAGAACATAGTGCACCATAATGGCTCTCTTCTGCAGATCTTGCTTAAGTCTTCCAGGGAAAGAAATGGGGATGTGATGAACGAACTCAGCGGCGTTGGTCAATAATCATGGAATGCGTCACATATCGACTTCTGCTCACAAACGTAGAGGCACTCAATGCCTGTTCTGCGCTTACTGTTAAAACTGCTATGGCGAGACCTCAAAACCGCCAAAAAAAATTGCTTCGATCCTCTCATAGTCTCGAATGGCTACCATGAAATTATCCCGCGGAGAAGCTCCTCTGTCGGAGCCGGGAGACGGCATTTCTCCTCCTGGGATCAGGTCACCTCCAAAATTGAGACGTCGTTCATTCGCTTAGGAGCAAGCCTAGGCCCAATCATAGGCTTAGAATAAGCCAATGTGTAAGCATAAGCCTTAACCTAAGTCTAAACCCAAACTTAACCTTAAGTTTTCAATGATTGCGCAACTGTGGTGACCTGACTCCTAGGAGGAGAAAAGCTACGTGTCTAGCCGAAGGCTTTACACGTAGTTGGGGCGCCATTGCTCATCAGAAAAGTTCAAACCGACAAAATCCACGGTAATTTTTAGAAACTACTTGAAAGACTTTTGTGAGCATATAATAAATAAATAAGCAAACACCCTTTTCCTCCATTATTTACTGTGCCACGAACTCAGATAGCTAAAACACTGTCTATCCCGTCGCTCAAAAACTAGTCAGCTGAGTACTGGATATCTCAATCGAAATATCGATCTGATATCGATTGATATCGATCTCATTTTCCTATTCTTATAGTTGGAAATTTAGCCCCAGTGAACTTCCACGACTACTGAACGTAAAACTCGTTGCACTGTGTAATTACCCACTCAGGCGAGTAATTGGCACCGCCCCTTTCTCAAATGACTACTTATTTGCAGAAAATTGCCTATTTGAGTTCATTTCTGCTTCTCATATCCCAGCTTGTGACTCACAGCTACTTCCTTAGGGAGTTGGATCCCTACCGTTACCGCTCCAGGCCGTACCCATCCTTGCTTAGAATAGCCCCTTTGGGTTAGTAGCAAAGGCTACGCTGAATCGCTTTCACCGAGCATGGCTCATCTCCTACCGATAATCCTGAGCGGTGAGTTTGATAACAATGGTCTTATTCAGGTGTAAGACAAAAGTTCTTGTTATTGTAATGATAGGCTGCGGGACTGCACAATAATAACAAATACAAATTATGATAAACAAAATAAATAAGCAAATATACAATGATAATTGAAGGTGGTTATACATGCAATGCGGAGTGAATCCATTGTCATTGGAAGAGTGCTCCTAAGTTAGGGCATAAAGTTATAGATAGGGCTTAAAACTATTCTAGTAGATAGAGAAAAGTTTTAATTCGCTTTCATCGTATTTTCCATGATTTCCTCTATTTTCAGGGCACTCCATGAAGAAGCTACACGACATGACTCTCGTTATGCAGGTAGATTTTTTTCTGAATAATCAGCTTTCAATAATCGATTACCTTCGAATTACTCTCTTTATGGAGAGTATCTTTTTGAATCGCTGCTGTATGTTGCTCACATTCGGGAATGATTATGGACGCTATGGCGAGATAGGGGGGGACATTGTGTTGTCACTGCATTTGAAACTACGTGAAATATCTACTTTTTGTTTGAAAAAAAAACGAGATTAATCCTGAAGCGGGAGAGGAGATACTCCTGGGTCCCGTTGAGCAATTTTCAATTTCCCCGAAAGTTCTGCCCCTCCTAGGCTAGTCCTAAGCATGCCCCTGTATCTTGCGATAGCGCATGCGGTTATGCGTAGAAAGTAAGCGGAAGTGGTATAGTATAATGACAGTCACTGATCTTACAGCGCGCCCGATGCAGGAGGTGCATCAAATCTGCAGGGTAGCACTCGAGCAGGCCACGATCGAAGTCAATTAAATAGTACCAGATCGTGTTTTGAAAGGTATAAAAACACTGCGCCTGCACCATCAGCGTGCCACCACAAGTCATGGCAGAGCCACACGAATGATATTTAAACATTGGAACTCCATTCACTCTCTGATATTTGTTTCGAAATTGCCCTTGTACGATTTCTGAATGGAAGTAGAATTACGTGTCGCGCTTCACGGATTAATTATGAATGAAAGTTCCGATGCGTTTGGAAACTAAAACTTGTTAAACAATAGTGTTCCAAGCGAGTAGCTCCCTCAATTTATTTTTTCCCAAAAACTGAGAAGGAGCCCTAAAGAATGATTATTTTGTAAAAGGTCAAGGTGCGGGGTTTTGGATACGTACGAGCTGTTATCAGTAAACAAAGTCAGTTTCGAATTGCTATCACTAGGGAGCTCGATCAGTGCCCAATTAAGAAAGAAAAACCATTATAAACAAAATAATTTAAAATGGTTCGTTTCGCTCCTTCCTCAGACGAACCTTATTATTTCGTCAATCCCCGGAGCTCATCAGTGAGTTGGGATTGGCGAAATAAAGACACAGGGGAAAGACGAATAAAAACTGGCGTTACCGGAATCCCACTTCACCTTCCCACCCGTATGATAGCAGCTGTAACACTTGCTTACAAAGATGTTGGCAGCTTGCGCTACGGCAACGAGATCCATTGTGAATTGCCGCGACCATTGACTCAGAAAAGCCTGCCTGGTGACTCCCAAGCTCACTGCCTACCCTGACGTAGAAATTCCGAAACACCATCGCACTACTTCCAAGCTAAGCATACCGTGAAGTTCCTTTTCCGGGTAAATTCAAATAATTGGAGAACCTCTCTAGACACAGTCTATTGACATCTCTTTCTCAGGGAGGTTTTTGCTTCGGTTGTTTAAAAGGATTTGTGATAATTGTTTTTGCTTTATTAAGACCTCATCGATCCCAACAAGGAGCGAATTTGTTGGCCCAAAAAACGTAATTTATAATTGTCAAGCTAACACAGAAGCATACTTAGGGCTTTCTTTAATCAGACTTCCACCTTTTGAAAGCGGCCGCGCTTTAAGCCGGCCTAGTGAAAACATACCGACCAAAAACAGCGGTTCCTTGTTTGTTTTCGAATAACCATGGGTCAAATGAATCTAATAGATTTTAGTAGTTTGATTTCAGGTAATGGATTATGATCGATTCTCTTCCGACGATCCCATCGGAGAAATTCTACTGCCCATGAAAAGTGTGAAATTCGAGAATAGCCCCGTTTATTGGAAGCATCTACAACGCCCTACAGTATCCAGGGTAAGATAATACCCATAGAAAATTTCTCATCCTCAACACATGCTACTAATGTTGAGGATCTCGTTATTCAGGAATTATGTGGTGAATTAATGCTATCTATGTGTTATCTCCCAGAAGTGAACAAAATCACTGTCAGTGTGATAAAAGCAAGAGATCTCAAGGCTAAAGATAAGATGGGAAGTTCTGGTAAGTGATACCATTTATGAAGTACAGTAGTTAAAACATCTAGTCGATCAAGTGGGAATTCTGGAACCCGGTTACTTGTATGAACTTAAAGACACAGCGTAAAGGCACTCTCAGTTGTGGGACTCAAGTTATTGGAACTGCTGGCGCTCGAGAAATTTCTTGATTCTCATGAAATGTACCAAGTAGAAGCCACCCATTGTCGTTTCTCGAGGTAATTTCATGGGATTCTGCGATCGCTTCCGCAGCAATCAGAACCGGTCAGTTCGACTGATGTGCCTCTGGGGCTAGGGTTAGAAGCCTATAAAGTCCGCTCAAATGACCATAATTTCTACGAGCTGCTTTGGGATGGGTCCCAGACCAATATTGAGGCACCCCCTGGCGCCTCATAAAAGGTGTACCTCTCAAGGGATTCAGTAGGGTGATCAAAATGGATGAGGGTAGCGCGACCGCGATGGTGCCATTGAGCGTTTAGGTGGAAAGGAGTAAAAGCAGGTTCAAACACACCCCCAGCGCGATGAGGGGTTTGGTCCAGCATTGGTGTTAATGATGTCATCAAATCGCACCGCGTCCAGCCATCAGTACCTTGCCAGCACTCAAAAAAGGGGCCGTATTCAATCCTTCCCCCAGGGGGATATATCCCTCTGATTCAATTTCAATCCCTCTGGGGGGACAAAAAAGGGTTGCGTCATAGGACCGCCATACCTCTGTGTTTCTACCTGCCAGACAGTTAGAGCAGCGCGACCCCTCAGGGAAAAGAGTGCTTCATCAGTGGAGGGTCGCGCTGCTCTAACTGTCTGGCAGGTAGAAACACAGAGGTATGCTAGGTCCTATGACGCAACCCTTTTTTGTCCCCCCAGAGGATTGAATCAGAGGAGGGGGATATATCCCCCTGGGGGAAGGATTGAATACCGCCCCTGGTGGAGGTAGATTTGAATGTAAATGCTGAATGCCATTCCGTCTGTAACTTGTAGTTCAAACTCAGGATTCGAACTAAGGTCACCACAGTCAATTTCGTGATCTGCAGCAAATTTCAGTAATTTGCACCCACCATTCCAAATAGATGGCTTTAGGGAAGGGCTCCTAGTGACTTAGGTCTCCCGCTCCACTGACACGCCCTGCAGTTGACTCACGTAGCTTTTGCTGCAGGGCTCTGAACACGCACTCTCATCCTCGACCTCAGTTTAGAAACTCATCAAAACTGTTTGAAGTGCTTATCAGATATACGTGTGATTGCCTTGGTTTTCAGATCCATACGTCAAGCTGTGGTTGTTCAACAAGGAAACAAACTCGAAAAACGAAAAACCTCGGTGAAACCTCAAACCTTAGCGCCCCTCTTCAATGAATCGTTTGCTTTTACTGTTCCTTCGAAGGATGTTCTCGAAAAGGATGTGAATCTCCGTCGTCACGGTCAGCATACTGTATTTTTAGATAAACTCCATTTAACTCCACATTTCAGCCAAGTGATGGTTTCGTTCCAGGTAATGGATTACGACCTACTGTCCAGTAACGACGAAATCGGTCATGCCATTATCGGTCCGCTGGGAGGCGAAACTGGTACTCGTCAATGGAAAGATGTGATCGATCATCCAGAAACTCCTGTTGCCTCATGGCATCGATTGTCTCCGCGATGGTGAACAGTACAAAGAAGTGCTGTCCAGTGATACAATACTGTCCTCATTTGACCGGTCTCCAGTGAAATACGTACCCAAAAGGCTCGAACTCAACATGATCTTGGCGAAAGACCGCGAACTTTGTGAATGCAGTACAAATTTCTCGTTGAAGTACTGCATGTAAATAGAAATCGTTAGATATCCATGATGCCCTGCAATAAAGTTGAATTTCATTTTTAAACTACTGTTAAGCACGACTGCAAATCGCTCTATTAGTGACAATACGGTAGCAATGACCGCTTCAAAGCAGGGTCAACCGTCACGTTGGACCGATTTCGAAAATTTTCACGACCCCCGCCTTCTGGAAGGGCCTCGATACGACCCCCCCCTCAGGGCCAACCCTTCACCTACCCTCGCGTGTCATGTCATGCGAGGGGTACTTATACACCGTGAAACGGCAAAATTTTAGCGCGCCAACCAACTGCATCATCACTTCCCTTACTGTAACATTAACGCTACCTCGCGAAATACGACCCCCTTTTCCACCCCAAATACGACCCCCCCCCTCGTTGGACTTTGTCCAACGCACGGTTGCTGCTTCGGAGAAATACCTTGGCACCTGCTACTCGCTACTTTTCAAACATTACATAAGACATTGTCCCTGAAGGGCTCTTTCAGTGTATCTCGTCACAACAATGCAGACATTTTCAGCCGACTAAAAAGGAACTATGAAGAAGCTAAGTGATAGGAAGGCTTGACATGGACGTTCCATTGCGGCAATTCAGTGGAACGAATTAAATGAGAGCACACTGCGCGATCAGTTCGATGCAAAGGTAGCGAAAGGATAGACGAGGCTAAAGGAAGTTGACCTGTCATCGTTGTGCCCGACCGAACGTCTCTGCACTTAAAAACGATAGACCTGTCCTCTTACTGCGTCATCACCTCTTTTCTCTCATGCCCTCGTCGCCAGTGTCCCTCATCCGGGCATTCATTTTGTTCTGCGCCGTGGTCGAATTCAGTGCCCTAGATAAGCTCAGAAAACTTAAATATTATTTGACAATTCCTTCTAGTGCTCTTTTCTTTGTGGGGTTACGCAGCAACTTGTGCTTCATATTCACCCACATACTCAAAGGCAAATTCCGGCTCAGACCTCACCTGAAGCTCTTACCATGGCTAGAAGTGCTGGGCACGCAAGTGCAAAGGTAGCGCCACCTTTCTACATCGAAACGCGTCACTAGGACCCTAGGCGCCATGGACTTCTAACAGACTCCACCAAACTTAACATGGTCCGCCCACCGTTCGATATCTTGTCTGCGTCGCTGCGTTGATCTGCTATGCTCTCTCTTCTCGGACTTCTCTACCGCTCTCCGCGCTCACATTATCTCTCATCTCCCTGCCTGTCTTTTGAACTTCTCCACAGCATGGAGCAAAATGCTCGTATTTCCTGTGTTTTCTTCGGTTTTTTCTTCCATTTTTCTCCATAGTCTACTTTACATTTGAGTGAAATCACCCCATCAATTTAATCCTGATTCTTGCCTTTTAACGTGGAACGTGCCTTTGAGTAATACAATTTTGACTTTAGTGACCAACAATTGTACAACTTCCCAGTAAAAAACAAAAAACCAACGAAAAGACCCTCCGCGTGACGCCAACGGAACCACCTCCCATCGAAATGGGTTCCCCTCCCCCGAAAGTGTTGACTTTTGTGCGCACAGATGTATCTGTGTGTATTTACAACGTGTCTCAAATATTTATCTCTTCTGGGGGAAACTAACGAATTGCTCGACGTCAGGTATACTGCTTATTATACATCTAACATGCAATAGTTCCTACATAATATTATACGTATAAATATACATTTATTTCTCACTCCTACTCTGTGCAAAAATTATCCTCTATCATTCCTTTGTAAATCACACTAACTTAGCTTTTCTCGAGTAATGTTCAGGTAATTTTGAGATCTTTTTTGAATAAGATGTTAACAAATACCGCAGCTATTGGGACAAAGATGTTGATAGTCGTCTCCCCAGAGGGGACTTTTGCACCAACCATTATCCGCCTGCCAAGATGACATCTTACCCTTGATAAGTCTTCGCGAACCTGTTCTGGAAGTTTCCCAAATTAAACTTCTTACTATTTAAAGGAAAAGAAATGCGAATATGGTTAGTGGTAAATGGGAATTTGGGATTTTATGGAACATTCTCGTGTTTTCAACGTTTCGAAATCGTCGAGATTGTTCTTTTTTTGCATTTTGACACTAGAGTCGTTTTGGCACTTACCATGGCTATCCGATGTAACCGTTTGCCACTTACCATGGATGTATGAACTTTCCCATATCGATTTAAGCGCTGATTATAAAAAGAAAAAAAAAAGGTGCTAAACCCTGCTAAAAATGAGCCTGCCTAGCAAAGTTGCGAGCATTAAAGAATTCTGAATAAAGTGTTCCATATAAGGAGCTACTTCAATCCAGTGGAGTAGGTAGTTACTCTTCGTTCTCATCTCAGCGGCCAGTTATAAGCTCTCAGCTGCCTTAGCGAAATCTTCAGTGCACTCTATTTACTAACCAGGACGATTCTGAAAGCCGGACGCTAGCAGGTTCATATGATTAATGCTTGACTTCGGGGGCAACTTTACTGTTGCTTACGGTTCCTTGGCAGATTCATTTTGCAGTTTCAATTTCCACAGTTATAATCAGCACTTGAAGCTCTTTCGCTATAACTGGGTCGTGATTCAAAGTACCATGGGAAGATCAATTTCTTCCTGGTCAGGAGTCGTTCTAGAGAATTTGCATCAGCAACAAAAGTACGGCCACTTCCGCGCAGGTCAGCTTGACTCGCAATGTCTCCCCTTTTTTTACCCGTTCGAGTGTGCTGCACTGTGGGGCGATGGTAATTTGTCACAACCACCAGCAGAGTCTCATGTTTATGTACGATTGCCAGGTATCGACAAAAGTTTTTCTAACACTCCATAGGAATAAGAGAGATGGATAATTATTTCCATAGAATGCAAAAATTATTAGACGTTTTCATTTCACTCATAACTCTATTACGAAAACCAAATAAAAACAACAATAAATGCGTGATCAACAAACGCTCTCGAACAATCCTCTCTGCAATCGTGCCTTCATTCCAGGCTTCGTTGATTCTATGAGCAGGTGCATATTCGGTTTCGAGCTCAACTTGCACCCATGCAGCATAAGCAATTTTTTTGCTCGCGTGTAAGCTCCAGAGTAAAGAAAATTCACATGTATAAGTACATTCAAATTGCGCAAGAGATGGCTCGCTTCGAGACTACATCATAATCCCGAAAATAAATACAAAAATCCAGGACCATAGAGTTTGAAAAAATGGTGGATAATTTTTGCTCAACCGAATAAATTGCCAAGTTGATCTAATGACCCCTTTTATAACTACCAGTATGTGATCGACGCTCTCCGATTGATTCAGGAGGAACTATCAGTGCCCTAAAATTTTTCGAACAACCGCGAAACAAGGCTAAAGGTTCTCGAAGTGAAACGGTTACTTGCCTCTCCGTTGACGAATCCATTATGGAAACCAGAGCAAATCAGAACAGAGAGGCAGATGAAGTAGTAGAACCACATATGGATGGCGGATGATGCCACTGCGACGTCAGGCCAGCTTAAATAGAGTGAAAACGTGCACTTTGACCACCACACAAATCTCACTTCACATACTCGCTTCCATTACATCATCCGAGTGTTAAAGGAATCTTCCACGGACCATGGACCAGTGGGCGGGACCGGAAGTGGTTTTGCGACGAAATGCATGGTAGGTACGGATCCACGTTCATGGGAAGGTTTGAAGTGAATCCTGTTCACGTTCGTGCGTTCGACACGTGGATCCGTACCTACCATGCATTTCGTCACAAAAACTTCCGGTCCCGCCCACTGGTCCATGGTCCGTGGAAGATTCCTTTAACATAATCGCATTTCAACTTTTGTTTTGATTCATATGAAAAGCTATCTAAATGACACACTATTACATGTTCTACTTGCAATCGGGCTTTGTCTGTCACTCCGGACGTGAACTGGAGGACCACTGGGCGAACTAGGTGAACGTTCTCGTTGCACCCTAGTTTGTTCGGATAAGGTGGGGTTCGACGTGGAAGTAGCTTCCCAGATTCCAACAGTACAGTTCAACAAGTACGTTCAATTTATGAAGTGGCAAAATCGCTGCTTTTTGTCCATGTTTTCTCAAACAGTATGAAAAATCATGGGTTTATCTGACTCAGCCGTCAGTGCAAGGAGGCAGGAATTCAGAGGGGTCATCGAATGGTGCATGGAAGCGCGTATGATGTATTAGGTTGTCTCATAAATAGTGTCGCTTTTTTTCAACCAGAAAATTTTGATCTAAATCCCCATGCTTTTACAGAGAGTTATATACCATTCAAAAGAGAATTGTCTGCTCTACAAAATATCGTGTTCTTCTTCCATCTATGTTCAATGGTTTTCAAATTTGAGGCATGCGAAATGGGAGGTCCCGCCGACAAAAATTGACCAAACCGACAACTAGCTCTAACTTTATGTTCCCTTCGGAGAAATCAATCAATGATGTACCCTCTACTTATGCATGACCTCTTCTAAACATTACACTATTAGGTTTCCCAACAAGTCGCATCATTCCATTTCCAGACCCGGTTTTTCAACCAGAACTCGACGGTTGAGCACCATTACCTGAGATCGAGGTCGAAATTTTTTTACAGCCGAGACATTGAAAAACTAGTAGAATTTGAAGAACAAGTCATGACTAAGTTAGGAATGTACGCCTGGTTGATTTTCTCATCTCCTCAAGGATAATTTCTTTCAAAGAAATGCGGTCACTTTTGTGGACAAAGCACCTTACTCCTAAACCCTAAAATTCGAGCTAATTCCTAACAAACATCAAAACAAAACAAATGAGCGAATAAAGCAGAAGAAGTGCTCACAAAAGATAACCAGTTGATATAAAACAATAGCGTTTCAGAGGAAGAATTTCAATTTGAAAATTGCCATGCTTATCGGTTGGCCAATTCGAAAAGAAACAGGGCAAACCTTTTTCGGCAACCTAAGGGTGGAATGTTCAGAAGAGGTCATGAGTAAGTAGAGGGTACATCATTGATTGATTTCTCCGAAGGGAACATAAAGTTAGAGCTAGTTGTCGGTTTGGTCAATTTTTGTCGGCGGGACCTCCCATTTCACAGGCCTAAAATTTGAAAACCATGGAACATAGATGGAAGAAGAACACGATATTTTGTAGAGCAGACAATTCTCTTTCGAATGGTATATGATTCGATGTAAAAGCATGAGGATTTGGATGAAAATTTTTTGGTTGAAAAAAAGCGACACTATTTATGAGACAACCTAATAATGATATATACATTCCTATATGTA